AGGCCTCCAAAGCAACCAAACCGAAGCAGCTGAAGAGAACCAAGCCAGACAATCCACCACCCGCAGTGGATGAGCTTTCTTCACCTCCAGAGGCCTCCAATCCGGCCAACCCCAAGCAGCCAAGGACAACCAAGGCGAAGGATGCTCCACCTGCAGCGGATGAACTCACTGCAGAACCCAAGGCCGCAACCACTCGGGCCAAACCAGGGCAGCCACAATCAAGCACCACCAAGGATGGCACATCCAATGCACGCCAGACAGTCAGCAGGGCTAGGACTGCTGCCAGCAAGCCCTCTCCAAAGAAGGCTGCTTCGAAAGCCGCCAGCAAAGCCAAAGCCAAGCAGAAGGCAACAACGAGTCGCACTCTGTTGCCTCCCCTACACAAGCACACCAAGCAAACCGACCTTGCCAATCTGGACAGGATCGTGCGACAGAAATTGAATTCTGTTTCTTGTCAGGATTGCTTGATAAGGCACCCACTTTTTCATCCCAACACAACTAAGGTTTACTCCATTGCTTGGAAGCGAGCCAAGAATGAGGGGCACTCCAGCGATCAGATCCGGGAATGCGCAGTGTTGGCTAGGAAGCAGTGGCTTGGTTCAAAGGAAACACAGAAACTGGACCCCAGTGTCTTAGGATTTTTTGTGGTCCAATAACTATGAACTCAATGCAGCCACTGTCTACCTCAGGTGGGTGTTGGAGAATGGCCCGCGTGCATCCAAAGTGGTGCAAGACCTTCTTGCAGAGATCTAAGGGTGATTGAAACCCGATTTGGCATTTTGCCATGAATTTTGTGGCAACAATGGGCCATAGTGATCTGCGCCTATTGTGCTTAGAGTGCGGCTGCTGTGTTTTTTAGACACATGCGCCAACGACTTATTGCAGCCAAGATTCACAGCAGGGGTGTTGGAAAAAGTATGTTTGGGCGCTCTTGGGCCACTGCGGCGTGCACATGTTTTTGCACCAATCCCAAAGGAACCACTCTCCAAATACACAAGAGCCAGTTGTCATTGGACTGGCATTTGTGTAATGTGGACTTAGATGGTTTCAACACACGATCCATGCCAGATGCCATGAGCCACACGATTGGAGTGTGATTTCCCACATGTGGTGCGTCTTTTCTTGAGGGTGTCCATAATTGGAACTGGGGAACCTGAAAGATCATTCCATGGATGTCAGATAGTTTCTTGCTCCGAAATTCCCATGTTTCTTTTGTGTTTTACATCTCAAGCAAGGTATAGGCAGCACAAAGGAGCTCCTTTTCAGCGATGGTTGTGCCTCCGTCCGTCCGTCTAGGCCGCGACCCAGTAAGGGACCTCTCCGAGTGACCTTACACGTCCATTCCGTGACAGGCGGGTGCCAATCTCTCAGTGGGCCGCTGGGCCTGAACCGTCTTTGGGTCCAGAGACTGATGAGGACGAGGTCCTCTAAAGATATCTAGGTGACTGTAGGTGATATACCTCTAACTACCGAAGGTACATACCTGTCAACCTGCTGGGTAGACCTAGGTGGCCGTGTTTTTGCGTGACGGCATAAGCTCCATCCTGCGCCTCCTGTTTCGGTGTTGAAGGCGCTGAAGCACACAAACAAAAGGACTTGTCAACAGATTTGCACGAAAAGAATCAACACACTTTGGTAACGCAAAACCTTGTGCCTCTCCTCCAATCAGGTTTTCAACCGCTTCAGACTGTCTCGTTGAAGGTTGGAGCTGAAGACCCAACCACGAAGATCCAAGTATTTGACCATTTTGTTTGATGCCCCTTCAAAGAAGTTAGGAAGTTGCCGTGTTGCTCTTCTGCCTCTTCAGGCTTGTGCATAATTCCTCAGAAGCAACTGTATCAGATCGATTCTGATGTTGATATCTCTAAGGGCCCAATGATCAAGCGTAAGGCTTCCTGAGCATACTCGCCTATCCCTAGATTCGACGTTCTCCCAGGGGAGCGCCAGCTCCTGTGCCTGGCTCGGGCATTGCTACGAAGTCCGAAGCTGCTTGTTTGTGATGAGGCTGGAGCAGCTCACTTGATGTCCCTATCCACAGAACTGAAAGAGTTATATATATATATATATGTATGCATACTTGTGTAGTCACAGTCTCTTTTATATATGATCAGTGAGAAACGCATCGTGTATATGTGACAATGATCCCAGGTCATGAGCCAACTTATCATTGCCAGTGAAACTAACTTATCAGTTTCTTAATTTTTATGACCCGTGTTAATCAAACTAACATTGAATATACGGTGTATATATATATATTATGTACTCCATGTGTGACCGAATGAACGTATTCTGGGAGCATTCTACCCATGTGACATGCTTTTCACATACATGTCTCGAGAAATTCACAAAAGGTCCGCTGGACTGCCATCCACATCCGCTGGTGCCGTGGGACAGGTCCCAGTACTCGTAAGGGCCAACATACAAACCGCGTGGATACGAACGTGCACTGAAAGCCTCCAAGTGACTGATCCAACATCAAAGCGACTCTGTCTTCTTTGGCCTTTTTGCGCCACAACCGACCAGTTCTTGTCGAGGCCGAAGTGGCTCAGCACGTCCAACGGTTCCCCACTTGCTTGAATCAGCTTGAGTGATCTTAAGTGCCTTGTGTCATTGTCCTCTCCCAGTTTCTTCACTCAGCACATCCTTTTGTGGGGTGTCGATCGTTGCCACCTCATCACCTCCACCCACCGGGGTTTGTTGCAGGCAACGAGCTCGGTGGATGCTATCACGGACGCGCAAGTGCAGAAATGCCTTCGCAACGCCGTGAGGCACCGGTGAGACTGATGGGATGACCTGAAAACCAGTGACACGCAGATGATGACATAATGGTTTTGATAAGGGCAGCCAAGAACAAAACGATAACTTGTTTTGGGAACGAGCGGAAGTATACCCGGGTTGCTTACAACCCCTTTGTGTGTGTGTGTGTTTGTGCGTGTTTGTTTGTGTGTTTCTTTGTGGAGGACGTCCGCCCCGGGCAGTGGATCTTCGAATCGTCTAAGGTCACTTTTTGTGTGATTTGCCTCCCATCTAAGTGTTTATCCGGCAAGACTGTGAGATATTATGAACAATATACATGTGTCTCTTGGTATGATGAAGAGGGCCTAATTGAATTTGGATCCTTGTGTTTTCAGCACAAACGGGTTGGTTTTGACATGCTTTGAGCACCCTCCCATGTCTTGCCTCACCCCAGAGTGCTGCCATGTCATTAACGATATATGCCTTTCAATACGCGTATGCCTAAGCAGTTGACCATGCGTCTTCGGATGCTGGAAGGGGGCCTATATCAGACCATATCATAACCGAATCATAACAAAAATGGGCTCCAAGAAACTTGCTTCTTTGAGCCGAGCCTAGCTTCTCTTCAGCCTTTTCGACTCTTGCCAGAACCTTCGATGCGAGCTTGCTGACCATCGCCCACCGCTTGGTCACGGTGGCCGACTACGACAAGGCGCCGATCGGACCGGTCGGCAGGCCGGTGCCCGGTGGCGCATCACGGAGAGAAGAGCCCGGTGGTGCAACCCACCGCGGTTCTGCTCAGGAAAACGTAGGGGGGTCCCAAGTGTGGTAATTACATGTAATTACATATAATATGCAGCAGCAAGGACAGAGCTGGGCAGGAGATTATGTTCACAAGAAAAACAGCAATCAGAAGTGACGTGAAAGTTGTCGTTGACACATTGGTATAGTGCCTATCGAGTCATGTTGCATTTTCTACTACGTATTTTAATAGATATTATAAGTTGGGATTCCAGACATTCAATATTTACTGGGTGTTGGAAGCTCCTTCCTGCCTGTTCTTGACATGGATGTCGCTCAAGACAGGTCAGGATCCACCGAGAGGAGACCTGGGCTGACATTTACCTACTCCTGGTGAATTCTGAATGGCTTTATGAAAAATATCCATGGGTGTCTCAAATTCACCCAACTCACCATCTCAACTTTTGATACCCTGATGTCTAAAACATTATGAAGCCATCCACAGTTGATGGATCCTTTTTGTTTGGACTTATGGCCAGCTCTTGCACTTGGCAAAGCAATAAACAGATGATGGTCATATTTAAGTTGTTGGATTTTGGAATCAATGTGTCAGCATCACCTGGATTCCAGAACATTCTGACATCCTGGAGCAACCTTTGCGTGCCAAAAAGGTGCCATAGGCCATAGGTCAAAAAACCTGCTTTTTGGAGCTGTCATCCCAAAAAAGTGCCATATTGGGCATTCCAACATTCCAACGTTTGATGAAGGGATAACTCTTGGACGCTCTTGGATGCGCTGCAACTTTCAAAAATTGACAAACAAGTCTACGGCGAAAATTTGCGAGAATATGGCGGAAATATTGCAGAAACTTGTCGACTGGAAATTTGCAGCCTCAGAAACACTTCAGCTTGACCAGGCTGTTTTTTGAAGCCCAATCCTCCGCAGAAACCTGAGATGATTATTTATCCCAGTGAATTTGTGGTCCACGTCTACCTCTCCGGGGACACCGCATCATAACATATGTCATGTTTTCTTAGATATCGCTTTTTTGGTCCAACATGGCACCTTTTCTTGTGCTTTGAAATATCGCACTATATTCGGAATTGGGTGGTCCAGGATAGAATCCAGTTGATGCCGGATCATGAAATGTGTGTTGGATTTCATTTCATGGCACATCACCTGTTTCACCTGCTTCACGTCCTCGCAGGTAATGTTGCTGCAAGCAGGGCAAGTGAAGGAGTTCGATTCTCCCGGCAAGTGGCCTAGTCAGGCAAATTGCCGTTCGTTGTTCCGGAGACCGTCTTGTTTTTGTTTCCTTTTTCCCACGTGTTTACGATAACATGGCCAGGAAGGCAAGGATGCAGATCATTGAGTGGCAAAGCTCCCATCTTTGGGATCGCTGCATGGGCAAAGTGACCGGTCTAAGGAACCCACACGAACTCGGGACGAATGGGCGTCCGCGTGATCGGCCCTGACTAAGGGCTAGCCGGGCTAGAGCTCCCACACGTCTTTTTGTTCCTATGTAACACACGTACTAGCTCCTAGCGCATAGGTCATGGGCGACTCCCATCGTGCGGGTGAGATTCTTCGATGTCACCCACACCATGACTCCCACATGTCTTCACTTCCCACACTGCCACTTGGAATGGAAACCCTGGAATTCAAGGAACTGACATAGAAGATGTGGAGCATGTTTGGCCCCAGCTTGGTTTCGGGGTCAAAATGCAAATCTCAGGTTGTTGGCAGAGAAGTCCTCGGCCTTCTCTCAGTTAGTTGACAGCCGCTTGGAAAGGGAACTTGCTACGATTTGTGTTTTTTGCCGGCTGACTCGCTTGTTTTTCGATTGGTGGACGCTTTGTTGGTGTTCCTTCTACGTTGCCAGCATGTGCAATAGGGCCTCCTTGTGAAGAAAAGCCTGGTTTGAGACACCATCCCTGACCGGTTCATTCTGGTAGACTTGCTCCAACCACAACACGTGGTTCAGACTATCCCCATCTAACCATGGTACTATGCATGGGATGACCACTCGTGGATTCACCACCATGCCGGTCACGCTAAAAAAGCGAGCACCGTTCTTCAAAACGGTCAGACGTGAGACGTCGGGTTTACATCATTTGTCTCGCATGATGTGTCAGGCCTATTTGCTCCACTTCAATTGATTATTAGTTGATTAGCATGTTTAACTACGACCATCCAGTAAAAAGGGTGAGGTGTTTCGTTCTCATTTTTGTTCGCCCTTCCAGCACGTGCTGGGTCGCTGGTCCGTCCAAAGAACGGGAGTTGTCTGAGAAGAAACCGTGTGTGTTTTGCTATGAGGCATTGTGTTGCTATAAGGCCCACACTTTCCATCAAATGAGGTGCAAAGGCAGGAAAGCTGCTAGTGTTTCTAGATGTTTCTAGCTTTTTGTGAAAAAAAACAAAATACTTGACATGTACTTAACATATCTTAACATCGTTTTTGCCAGCCGCAAAACATTCCTCGGAAGCCTTCGGACCCTCCGAACGAGCATATGAAGTCCTTTTTTCTGAACGAAGGGTGCCAACCAATGATGAACCGACCCTTCTTCCAAAACAGTCCGGAACCACGGCCCACGCCGGAGCCGAGCTCCACGCCAGGCATGGGCCAACGCGAGGCGGCGGCGATCCGGCAGATCGCCGCCGCTCGGCTCGGAGGGAGGAATGCCTCGGAGTCCGAGCCGTGGGCCGTTGGGTGGTTAACATGTAAACACCAAGGGTCAGCCAGAATTTGAACAGTCATATTCAGTACTACTCTTATGGAGGGTTGAACTATCGTCCAGAGTATTGTTCTTTTTTCTATTTTCGCTATTTTTTTTTTTACGGAGCGTTTGTCTAAAAAAAGAGGGAATTGGGAGTGGCTGGATCCAGCCAGATTCTCTCAGGGACAGAACGCTGACAGCCACGGTCTCTTATCTCACATCGCTGTGGGTCGGACCAGAGGATTCCGGAGAATGGGATGAGGCATCCATGCAACCCGTTTGGGCTCCTGGCCTACCTCCGTTTCGAAGGTGGTGGGTGGTTTGGGGGGTTCGAATACCACCGGTCACCGGGTCGGAGATGGGGCGTTCGGAGCCCGACTCGGGTGTATGGTTTGGGTTTGTCCTATTTCCTGTAACAGGACCTGTAAACAAGCAAAACACTATGTTTGAACAAGGCCTGCAACCTTGTTCAAACTGCTACCGGTATAATAGGATAGACCCAATATATGTTATATAGGAAGTTGTAGAGGTGAAATCATGTAAGCTTCTGCAGGTAACCCCCTATGAGACCAAGGAAACCCACTCTAGAAAGGGAAAGCTACACATCTCGAACCACCCACTTGGCATCAGTGTGTTCCACAATATGACTCTTTGCGCTGCTGTCGCTGCTGTTGCTTGTCTCCCCAGTTGTCTATTGCTGGTATTTGGGGGTCGACATGCTGGTGTTGGTTACACCCTAGAGGCCAGCGCCAGTCAGGGCGACTTCGTTGCATCATTCTGATTTGCACAACTGATCCTCATCCACTTGCCGCGCTGGCGCCTCGCTTGGTGCATCCCAACCAGACGCCTGCCACGGTTTCTTTTTCTGGCAACGCGCGTGATGCGTGCGCCCGGCTGTTTTCGAGCCGCGTGCGTGGCGCGTGATGTTCAGGTATCCACGGGGCCCACACAGCTCTCCCTGTGAGTTGTGAACCGAAAAAAATGCATTGAGCGACGAGTTCAGATGTGCTGGTGGGTCAGTTCCATGGTGTCTTGCTTGATGACATTTGTGTGATACAGTCAGGTCCCTTTTTTTGGGTCGGCCACATCTGTCGTTTGGATCGGATGTCGAGACTTGGGTCGCCGACCCCCAAGGGTCGTTTTCGTTTCAGACAAGGTCGCCGAAGTGGATGGCATGGCACCGTGGATGACCATTTTCTTCTACAAACAGGTGATTTTACACTGCCATGTTAGTGAGTCTGAGGGGAATCCACAACTTGGGTCCTTCTTTTTGCTCTTCAGAGTAGCAGTACCGGTCAATAGATCATTGATCACTGTGGCTGGTACACTCCGGATCAGTGGAAGTGGAAAGCCACCACCTGCTTGTGGTTAAATGGTGAATAAAAGACCAATGGTCACCACCTCGAGCCTCATCATCTACGAATCGATGGAGGGATGGACCCACTGTCACATTTCAATTAGATCTGAATATGTTTTTGCATGGTCCAAAGGATCAGATCCTCTTCTTCGGCCCAACAAACATGGCCCTGCTTTTGACTCCTGCTCTTAAGGAACAATGACGAGTTGGACAGCAACTAGGATATGGCTGAGCTATGCCGAGCTCGTGATTTTTTTTCACAAGCGGCAACTGGATGTATATAATTATATATATATATACATTTATAATTGGGGTGACCAGATCATGTGAGCCAGTGCGTGTTGGGCAGCGCCAGCATAGGTCTCAACACAGGCTCAGTGTGTTCTCAGCGTGCTTCCAGATACTTTGCCCATCATCCAAGCACAGCGGTGGTTGGCTTGTTGAAAGGTTTTGGTTTCAAGATGTTTCAAAGCCTCTTTGAACTTTGGAGCAAGTGGATTGACAGTCCAAAGAGCAGGAGAGGTCTGTCTAGCACTAGCAGAGCGAATGAGCTCAGCTTGCGCACATGGGTCCTTCATGAGCCTGGCATTTGGATGCCTTCGAAGCTGAAGGAACAACTCCATGGAGGTGACATCCGAAAGGACATAGCATAGCACAAATCCCAGTTGTTTTGGACGCCCCAGTGTCCATGATCCTGGGTCAAACAAGCACAACAGGGTGACCAGTCTTGCAGTGACCAAAGCTTCCCCCATGGTGGCCTTGAGCAGATGAAAATTGATGCCCTGCACCGTGCTTGGGTGCTATTTCTTCCTTTCTAGGTTGAATAGGTTGAAGAACATCTAGGGCTACTAACAGATAAGGCCAAGCAAGTCTTAGCCTTTGTTAATCAGTGGATCTTGTTGGCACTCTACTGGGAGCACCCTTTGGGTCGCCTTCTTGTCTATCTTGTCCACCCCCCCCAATCCTTTTGCTATAGCGTTTGCTGGGTGGTACCGGATGGACGGACCCAGTCCACTCGAGCCTGCCCTGTCCGACGCACTGGAGGAATCGTTTGTCAAACGTATTGTCATACTGTCAGACGCATGTCATACACATACGTATTTCAAGGAATTATAGTTTGTCATAGATATTTCAAGTCAACCAAATGAATCTGATGAATCTACACTGCACCCCACTCCTTGTCGGCACTGCACCGCATCGGGTGGTGCGGTGTCCAAGCTCTGAGCCAAACTGTTCAAGTTGCCAATCTGCACAATACGCTGAGTAGACACTTTGACAAACCAAACGCTACAGTCGTGAAGCATTCCTGGGTGGTTCATCGAAATGAGAATCTCCATTCGGAGATTATGCGACCTTCCAAACTAGGATTGTATAAATGGTTTGGACCTGTGACAACACCTCAGCACTCCAACTACCTCCTGGGAAGGTACTTGCTGTAGGTCGAGCTTAGGGGGTCTTACTACCTTCTGAGGATGTACTTGGCGCCGGGATCAAACATAACACTCGTGAGGGACTCGTGTACACAGTGTGATGAGTGCCGACGTTTCCCGCGTTTGCCAAGCAACGCGGAGAGTCCACAACGAAGTTTTGCCAGTTTCGCCAATCCATTTCTCAGGGTCTGCCCGCCACGCTGAACTGTGCGTGACCGGATGTGACTGGACAACTGTGGCATGGGGGCGAAAGACGTGCGGTTTGGGATTCATGCTTCACCAGTCGGGATCCGGAAGAAGTCTGAAGAATCATACTCCAGACCTGGCGACGGAGTTCGCCCAATTTGATTGTCTGACATCCTTTTGACCCGGTTTTGATGACCCAAGTTTGACATCTTCAGTACCTGGTGCGTTCAAACATGTTATTTGTTTGTTTAAACAAATGAAGTTTTTGTTGAGCTTCGGTAGCACTATATAGTTTCCAGAACAATCTTGTATCCTGGACTAGGGAATCGGAGTTGAAATGATACTGATACTAAAGACCTTCTTTCTCAAGGATTCTTCATCGGGGTCATTCCCTTCTTCTCTACCAAGCGCCTACCAAACAGAATTTCTGAGAAGGAAACTGCCAGAGGCTTTACCTAATGGATCCTTAAAGGAGATTCTTGATATTCTTGATGAATAACTCCCCAAGCCTGAAGATGTAAAGCCAGGCGAAAGGCGGTGTGCGGGTTTTATGAATCAACAGTCTACACTACAATACCATACAACACCCAATACCATCAGCTAGGCGGCTGCTTGAGCTGATTCTCCGGATGCCTTTGACGACCTAGGCTTAGACCACTTGGGTATCCAGCGTGCAAGGCTGTGGGGGGCCCAGGCAGGGGTGGTAAAACGAATGCAGTGAATCACGGGACGAATGTCCGAGATGGACTTTGTTGGAAAATGTTGGAAAGGGTGGGCGGTTGGAAAGCCTCCGTAAGTAGTGCCTACCCGCGTGGGTACATACCCCAAACGTTCGTCGACCCTACCTGATAGGGGAATTGACCCCAGCAGTGTGTTCAATTCAGTTTTAGCCTGTTCTACTCAGTGGAGTAGGCTGAGTCGCCTTTCCTAAGGTCTTTCCGAAGGCGTGAACCGAGCCGCCCAAACAGATCAGCTTCGTCAGAGCCCCGCTGAGGCTGTTCCTTTGTGCGGGAGCACCCTTCGCTTTAGGCTTCCAGGCGTCGGAAAAAACAAAACAGCGGCTCCTTCGTTCGCCCGGTCGCTCCAGTCGATGGAACAGGGAGAGAGCGCGCCGCCAAGGGCCGCAAGGCCTACTAACTACATCCTACGGGGGGCGTTGAAAGATCCTCAAGAATTGAACACCCCTCAGATGGGGGAAATCTTGGAAGGTGACCAAAAGAGGCAATTGATGGCTGGGATCCGGTATCTCGGAGTCCACCGGAGAATAAGACAGTCTGACCCAAACTCCACTCGTCGCGGGATCCCGGGTACCGACTTTCTGAAAGTTCGAATTACTTTGGGAATCGGCATACACCCAGGTTTCGGCACGGGTTGGACTGAGATGTGCTTGTTGATTCTTGACATGGACATGTTCTCCACAGAGCACCTTAGTCAGCACCTTACTTTCTGCGGGAATACAAGCAGGACGATAGTGAGCTGCATGCCATCAATGCCAATTACACGTAGGAAGCTTCTGTGAGGGAGACAAAGATAGTGCTTATTGAACCAGCATTTGTAGGCAACTAGCTGAGTGATATCATGATTAATGTGATACCAATATAACCAACATTGACCAACACAATATGAGAAAGGTATACTACAAACCAGACAACCCAGGAACTGAGTGACCAGCCCTCGGTCATTTCCTCATTTTCCTCCCCATCCTCCTCGCTAGGCCAGATATCCTCACCGCAGCTCGGGGCGCCTGGCTCGGGTCTCAGGACAAAAAGGCGGTGCAAGCTGGAAAGCTCCATATGTGTGGCAACCAGCGGTCTCAAGAATAAGGAGGCCCCCGAAGTTTGAATGGCAAAGTAGATCACCTTCATTCACCTTCAACATCCTTCAAAGATGTATTGGACATCCTTTCGGTCCAACTCTTCCGTGGTTGCCCGGCCCGCACTTGTTCGGATCCATTGATTGTGCTCCTATTCAGAATGGGGCTTTAGAGTCAAGGCTCGGGCGACAGAAGGAGAATAGGACACCTTGCCTCACCAGTGAGTGGATCGACACCCCGGTCGGGAGGTGCCAATGGGACATACCGGTCACCGCCCGACCGAGTGGATATGAGTGGATCCTCCGTTCGACCTTCGTTCTTCGTTCGTTTCAACCGAGCGCGTAGCTTGGCACGAATCAGGTGGGCTGTTCTTCCTGGGTGTCTCCGAGGGACTGCCCATCTGCGAAGTTCATGTACCAAGTGGGCGCAGGAGAGGAATAATTCGAGTTCGTTGGGAGCTCTTTTGCACAAGTGAACAGAGCTCTCGAGGGATGCGTAAGCAGGTGGGTGCCAGCGAAGCTAGGGTGCGATCAGAGACCTGTTTTCCCATGCACGGCATAGGGTGGGAAACTGCAAGTCCATCAGTTTGTTCTTTTTTTTGAACTCACTATATAATCTTATATATATATATTAGTTATTATAGTTATATATTGTATATATATATATACCTAGAACCTGGATGACCTTGAAAAAGAAAGGCCTTTCAAAAAAGCTTGGCTTTTATAAGACAACCATGTTTTTTTTTTGAAAGGGACGTAAAACCATAAAGGGACGTAAATTTAAACATGGCTGTCCAGATGTTGCCATAAGAGTGGTGATATGCTGGTAAAGAACTATAGTTGAACATGACTGAAGGCATCGAGCGATGGTTCCTGGAGTTCCAGCGGTGTTCAACATTTGCTTTCAGGGTTCCTGGTGTCATTTCAGGGGGCAACTGTGTCCAAGATGGTGAGCCATCGTACCAATCAAAGATCTTAAACTCATTGGAATGGTTTATCCTTTAATGTGGATTAAACACATAAAGATTCTATTTGATTACCCACGCAGTTGACATCAGTTGACCCACATCCTACGACCAATTGGTCCTACATCCCTTCACACCCTCCTGTGTCTGGGTGGCCACCTTGTGTTGGCCAAGCCGACCGATCGACCAGAGGTGCTGGTGGAAGGTGAAGGGGATAAAGGATAAATCCTGCTCCACCTGAGAACCTCAAAAAACAAACACACATATGGGTCCCAGTTCCAGGTGGTGCAGG